CCCAGCACCAAAAACAAATAAAGGATGATTTCCAAACATGGTTTGATTCAATTTCATAAACATGTTTCCAGTGTCTCTAGATTTATAATTTAGCCAAAGGTGCTTTTGTGTGAAGTACGGAACAGAATTGAAAAAGACAGTAAAGTGGGCAGCAGGAGCCCGGCCGGGGCAGCCAGGAGAGGTGACTCGTGCTGGGAGGAGGGGAGGGAAAGCCTAGGAGGCTGGCAGCTGACCGCCAGGACCCTCACGCTTCTGATCTGAGCTGCAGCCACCTTTGCCATGAGCCATGAATGACCGCTGGGGGCCCAGAAGCCAGCTGGATACTGACACGATTGGGAAAGGCCGCGGGCTTTCAGCCCCACCTTGCCACCTGCAAACCACCAACACCAGCTTCCAAAGTTAACCAGCTGATGGTGAGCATTCAAGGGTCATCCTCCACCTGCAGCCACCCGTCAGCTCACAGAAGTGACTGCCCTGGATGCTCTTGAACGGCACTAAAAGGTGAAATGTCCAAGACGGTGAGGCTTAGCTCCAGGGCAGGCTGGGTTGGCCCCCAGAGTTCCCCGCACGGGCTATGTGCTGGTCTGTATGCCGTACAATGAGGACGACTGTGCTGTGTCCCAGGAAGCCTGACAGGCCAAACAAGGTGAAGACGCACATTCCTAAGTCAGTGGCCTCAGCAATGAGAGCTCCCTTTCCACCCTCCCACCCCTGGCTATGAAAGGGGGGGTCAGGAGGCTCCTTCCTGGAGGAGATGCATCTGAGCAGACAAAGCCGAACTCTGCCCAGAGACAGTGAGGGTGAACGTGGATCAGGCCCAGGAAACAGGATGCAGAGGCCCAGTCCAAGCTTCAAAGTAGCACCTAGTGTTCAGAGAACCAGAAGGAACCAGCAGAGGAGAGAGCCAACTTAGAGAGGTGTACTCAAACTTTGCCCCGTGAACTCAGAAGGCCATGCCAGACAGGAGCTGCTGGACATTTGAACAGTGGTTTGACCACTGGATTTGGCATCAGCCTGTGGTTTTCAAGAGGAACATTAATCTTGGCTGCTTTTCTGGGGGTCAGCACATTGGCCTATCAGTGCAGGGCCCACATGGCTGGCTCCTTGCTGGGATACAGAGTATCAGAAAGGGCAAGAAGTGGAGGTGGGTGACCAAAGCCTGGCCTGGCCTTGCCAGTTACCACGGTGAGACCCTGGGTTTCTGACCTAACTTTTCAGTGCCCCAGTTACCTTGTTTGCCATGATAGATCATTTACATTAAAACACAGACACACACAGTTTTCACAGAGCTGCCGTTTGCCATTATCCTTTATGATGCATTTTGGTTTCTCAGTTTTGCCCTTCTTATACAGACTGTGAGGCTGTGGCTGGTTACCAGCGCTTCAGTAAGTGCCTAAGGTCTCTTGGCATGCCTGTGCCCGCTGGCCACAATTAAAGCTTCATCCAGCAATTTAAAAGACAATAAGTTTAACACACAAATAGAAAGTTTGAAAGGGAAAGCTCTCATCATGTGAGAGACAAGAGTTGGATTAGCTCATTAGCAGCATTTCCTGTTGAATTAGAATTTTTTTTAACTCATTTAAAGTGGTTTAACTCAAAGAGCTTTGTAATGTTGTGAACAACCAATAAAAAAATAAAAAATTTAAAAAAAATTAAAAAAAATAAATAAATAAAGTGGTTTAACTCATTTAAATACACTTGCCTAGCATGCACAAGGCCTTAGGCTTTATCCACAGCGCCCCCCTCCCCAACACACACACACATAGGGGTTTACTTATTTTTAAAGTCAGACTTTATCAGACATTTTTCTGCTGATGGGGAGCTCCTAACTGCCAGCTTGAAAACAGGTACATTTCTGTAACCAAATTTGTGCCTACAAAATCCACAGGTGTCATATTTTTAAATAAATCGGGGGGGAAAGGGGCCTCATTGGCTCTGGCTCTGGCATTATTTAAGTTAATGAAGTTCACAGAGGATTTGAGTTTCTCATGGACATGTACAAACACACAAATGCCCATTTCCATGGGGCAGCCCCAGCTCCTGTTGGAAGTGTTCTTTGTGGTTGTTGCTTAGTGTCTTTGCATTTTGTATCATGGTTCTCGGGCAAAAACAAAACCTGTCCACTCTAATCTAGGAAACGACTAACAGGCTCTCCGAGGTCATACTGAAGGGCTGTTTTCTTCTATGTGCTTGGTTTTGTAAGAAGCATTCAGTTCCGGTGTGGTTAGCCACATTCATTTTTCATGAGGGTATTGCTTCCTCCAGCCGCCACGATGTGCACTGCACAATCTCAGCCGGTAGCTGGTCCACTGTGCAGTCCCTCTCCATATTAAAAACATGGCCAAGCACTCAAGGAAAGAGCCAGTTACTGCTATGAAATCTTCCTGGGTATGGGTCCTGGCTTCTGGGTCCCATGGGGGCCACCAAGAAAGATAAGCCTGCCCTGTTAAAAATGAATCCCTAACAAAGGCACAAAATTAAATCCCATCGAAAACTAACCAGCCACAAGGCAGTTAAGCCTCCTGATAACAAGTCTCTGGGGACAGTTTTGAAGTGCTTTGAAAACGACATCCTCTGGAAAAGCAGAGTATCCGCTAAGTAACAGCTTAGGGTTTTTTCTGTTGTTGTCTTGTTTTTTTTTTTGGGTATCAGAGATTGAACTCAGGGACCCTCGACCACTGAGCCAAACCCCCAGCCCTATTTTATATTTTATTTAGAGACAGGGTCTCATTGAGTTGCTCAGTGCCTCACTTTTGCTGAGGTTGGCTTTGAACTTTGGATCCTCCTGCCTCAGGCTCCCAAGTCACTGGGATTACAGGTGTGTGCCACCACGCCCAGCACAGTGTAGGGTTTAATCACAGCAGAAGCCACGCACTGTCTCAGGGTTTCTACTGTGGGACTGCACAGGGCCACACCCTGGCTCCCCAACCCAATGGTAAAGAAGGACAAAGTTACTTTACCTCCCTGCAGCTCTGTTTTGCCCTCTGAAAAAAGGGGGCTACTACAAAGCAAGATGATTAAAAATGAAATAATACATGCACAAATCCTCTGCACCGTGCCTGCCACAGAGGACTTCCGCAGCGCCGGCAGCAGGCATCTTCAGGCTCTGAGGAAGTGCTCTGCCTGCAGCAGCAGCCAGGCACCAAACTGAGCAAGCAGAGTCAAATTCCCCTCAGCCTGGCTGAGCTTCCTTGTGCAACTGGACTACGGTATGCGCTGAAAAGCCGCAGAAAGAGGAGCACTTAGTGTGACTGAGAAAATCCAAAGCTCCAAGACCCAGGCTATGAATCCTTTCAAACAACTCAAGTTGGCTCTTCTAGGGACTCCTGTCCCCAGAGTGTGGTGCTCCCCCAGGAGGTAGGCTGGGGGCATGGGGGAGCCCATAGATCTCCGACTCCATCCCCTAACTTCATCATCTGGTGGCAGTATCTGCAGGCAGCTCCTCCTAGGCCAGCAATGCCACCTGCCCTGCTGGGCCTGGGAACAGGAGTTGGGGATTCACTACCACTCCTGGCTCTGCCAGAGACTCCCTTTGGCTTGGCTGGCAAAGTTGATTCTTCTGTGCTCTGGTACTCAGAGTGAAAGCTAATGAGAGTCTGGAGGCCAGTCAGGAAAATAACAACTCGTTTTATTATGTAGGATGAAAGCCAGGCAGAATGAAAAGTGCCGGGAGAGCTGGGACACAGAGGCTCGATTCAGCTGGAGTCCTCAGAAGCCACAATGCTACCCTCTGCTTGGCAGCCCAGCCCAGCCCCGTCTGGGCTGTGGAAATGGGGGTCATATTTAAGCCTGTCCTAGTTTAGAGTGTCCTGGACAGAAGTTGAGTCAGAACTCTGGGTAGGTCTCACACCAGCAAATGCCGAACAGCAGAAAGAGATGTGGCAGTAATAAAGGGGGAGAGAGAGCTTCTGAGCCAGCGTGAGGAAGAGCAAACTCACACAGGACGATTCAGGGCTCCCAACACATCAGTTCACCTGAGACACCCTCAGACAAACCTGGGGAAGACAATGTGTCACTGAATCCTTCTTTTGGCAATGGTTAAGATTGAGAGCCTTTACAGGCAGAATCACTCTCTCCAGTGGTATGTCAGACTAGAAAATGATTCCATATGGCTGCCATTGAAGATGTATTGGCAAACTTCTCAACAGAATTGGTTTTAATTTTGGACCTGGAATGCTGGGAAAGTTATGATTAGCAATTACTTAAATTATCGCAGGCTATTTAATTTCCATTAGGCCTTTCCCCTCCTGGCCAAAGATAAATAAATGAAAAACTGTGTTTGTTTTTTATGTTAATCTACAATATTATCATATTAAATTTATAAATAGGTCTTGCATCTTAGCCAAAGTATTAATTTTTGTTTACCTTAGTCAATCTGCTCCCCAAAAATAAAGGGGGGTGGGAGAAATCTTTATAACTGAGGAATTTTTACTTGAGTTACTGAAAAAAACCATACAGCTCTTGAAACTTAAAACTTGATCAAAATTCTGTGCAACAGTGGGGGGAATGGATGGAGAGTCTAGGATGTGTCACCAAAAAACCATCAACTCCTCACAGATTCCCATTCAATTAGGGAACATGGTTTGTATTAGATCTTTATTTTTTCCAATCTCATTTTTAAAATCATTTATTTTAAAAACCTTTATGCTGCCACGGTTTGAAAATCTGCAATCCCAAAACCCCACCCATATGTAAGCAATTGGACTGAACAGTTCCCATGTGTTGGGGATTTCTTAAATAGATCACCTTTCAAATCAAATGTGTAGATGGTCACTATTTTAGGAAATAAACAATCGCTTAAGAAATCAAGCAACATAGTTGCTGAGGTCTTCTTTTTTTATGTCCTTGGGGAGGGGGATGGAGAGTCTGTCTACCTGTATTCCAGTCTCTGCTGCACATAATCTTCCGCACCCAAAGACAAGAGCAGCTCTTGTTTGGAATCCAGGAAGACCAGCATTTCGTCTGGGGGCACAAGGCCCAGGGCACAGAGCAGTCTGCAGAAGCCAAGTGTGTCTCTCTGCCTAACTGCCCAGGCCAGCCAAGGAGCTGTTCCGTGTGTGCCTGCAAGCCCTCCACCGCTTAGGAGACTGCAGTGGAGGACCAGGACAGGCCCCCTCAAGGCACCAAGCCTGCTCGCTGCGCGCTGCGCTCGTCCGCCAGCGCTCTGCCTTGGTTCCCACGGACCCCACCAAGCAGAGCCTTGGCTTTGAGGCGCAGAGGCGGGGCCCTACCAGGCAAGTTGTGCGCCCAACTAGGCAAGTTGCAGGTAGCAAGTTATTCCAGGGTGGACTCAAAAAAGGGCGACTGGCCTAGAGGACCCGAGGGACAGACGCGCGGTCCCCTATTAGCACCGAACCCCAAGCCAGCCCACTCCCCGATCTCGGCCGCCTGACACGGGTCGCGGGCACCAGGAACCTGGAACCAACCCGCAAACTTTCTTCGGGAGCTTAGGCTCAGAAGTGGCGGCGGGTAGTCATGCAGGGACGCTGTCTTGGGACAAAGGAGCGATTTTGACGAAAAGGGGAGGGCTATTCCCCGCGCCCCCATAGAGGACTCCCAGGCTGAGACCCCGGTCGTGAGCCTGGCCTTTCCACGCAGGTGGCGGGGGCCCCCTCCC